CCGGCCGGGGGTCTTCCTGCTCTTGGCATTCCCCTCCCCAGCTTCTCCCCCACATCCCTACGTAGAAGCAGGGCCCATTTTCTTGGGGTGCCCCCACACCAAGGAGCAGAGCATGGACCCTGACATCAGGCCAACCTGGGGGCGCAGCTTCGTGCCCTTGGGCCAGTCGTAGGTCGTCGTCCCCTCTCTGGAGTGGGGCTTGAAGATATCAGCCATTCAGCTGGCACTCAGGAAATGCTCTTCCCCGGAGGGTTTGAGCCAGCACCCTGCCCTGCCCGCTCCTCACAGGATGCAGTTTCTGGAGCTCCTTCCTGCTGACCAGCTCACTCCAGCAGGAAGGCTGAGGCCTAGCAGGTGGAGAGTGAACAGGGATGTCTCCCGGACAAGGGGGACCCAGCTTAAAGGGGGTGAGCAGGACAGGGGTGAAAGCCAAGAGCCCTCCCCGCAGGGAGTTCCATAGGCTCTGTCTCTGGAAAGGCAAGGCTCTCTAGCCCAGCTTTTTCTCAAATTCAGAGTAGGCTCGGGGAGTTTCTCTGCTGAGTGGGTGAAGGAAGCGAGGAAGCATCAGCCCCTGAAGGGCAGGATAGGAATCTTCTTGGAGGGGTGGGATGCTAGGGTTATCGAGGAAAAGCCCACACAGGTTAGGGAACCCAGTACTCCCTCCTTCCAGCCTATCTGGGGAGATGGTTGTAATATGGCAGGCCTTCAAAAAGTTTGTGGAGAAACGGACTTAAACGAAATTTCCCATGGGGTTTTGGAAGCCTGGGATGCCCACTTCCCGGATGGGGAAGTTGAGCCTCAGAGAGGGAAGCCTGTGGGAGAGCAGAGGGAGAACTGAGAAGCAGGGGGAAGAGCTTTGGGGCGCTCTGTTGGGATGGGGAGGTCTCCCATGAAAGCTGCACGGCCAGACTGTGAAGTCTAAGGGGAACCAAGTTGGAGACAGAGGACAGGTAGGCCGCAGGCTTCAGCCTGCATGAACCCCAAAGTGGGATTCAGCCTCACCTTCTCCTCTAGGAAGCCCACCCCTTCTTTCTGGGCCAGGATCGAGACCCTGAAGGTAAAGCTGAGATTTAAATATGCACCGGGGAAAGCAAGGCTAATGGGTTCTAATTACCGCTCATTAATCCAATTAATTAAGCAAATGTATGCAATAAATGGTATCACATCAGAACGAATCAGCGAACACATATAATTAAAGGGGTTGACTATTTAAATAATTAATGTGGCTGATTAAAGGGACTGATTGAGCTGAACTGTCACCACTATTTATTAATTGATTTTACCATTAATTTTAGAGGCAAAGTCCAGAAAATAAGGGATACATGGAGCTGAGTTTTTAACAGCTGAGGCGTTGGTTTCTGGACTTGATCATCATGAGGATAGGGAGAATTTCCTAGAACTCTCCCAGCAAATGGAGTATTGAGATCTGAAGGCCGAGTAGGCGTGGTCACAAGGGAGAGAGAAGATTCCCAGACAGAGGGAACAGCCTGCACAGAGGCTGGAGGACGTGCCAGTGGCCAGAGCAAATGGAGGGGGAGGGATGACCCTCGCAGAGGGCCGAAGACAAGAAGACTAGACTCTGTCCTCAGAATGTCAGGGGACCATGGTGGTGGCCATTCGTTCAAAAAGCACTTATGGAGTTGCTCGGTGGCAGAGTGGGTTATGAATTGAGCTGCTAGCCATCAGGTTAGTGGTTCAAACCCACCAGCCGCTCCACAAGGGAGAATAGGCAGAGCTTTCACGGTAAAGATTTAAGGTCTCAGAAACCCCCAGGGACAGTTCTACTTGGTCTTAGAGGGCTACTATGAGCCAGAATTGACTTGATGGCGGTGTGGTTTGGGGCCCTGGTGACTAGTGGATTAAGCATCAAGCTGCTAACCTAAAGGTGGGAAGTTCTAAGCCATCAAGTGCTCTGTGGGAGAAAGAGGGGGCAGTCTGCTTCTGTAAAGATTCACCGTCTCGGAAATCCTAAGAAACAGTTCCACGCTGTTCTATCAGGTCGCTATAAAGTGGAAACAGAAAATGTAAAGAAGGGGGGGAGTTAACAGCAAAAAGTCCAGCCTGCCAGGAGCAGCAAAAGGGAAAGGGGTGGATGGAGAGGCGGTGAGGGCTCAGCGTGCATGGCTGCTATGAGGACTTCGGCTCTTCCTCGGCTGCGTGAGACTGGGACCGCCCCGTGGGTTTTGAGCTGAGGAAGGATGTCATCTGACTTTCATTTGAACAGAACCGCTCTGGCTACTGAGGCCAGAACAGGTTATAGGGAGCATGCTTGGGGGGAGGGAGGCCAGCGATGGGGTAGTGGCAGTAGTCCAGATGAATGACCGCAGTGGCTTGTAGGTGGTCACGATCATATCATGTCTCAGAAAGCACCCCAAGAGTTGTAGGGGGAAAAAATGAGCAGCCGATTTTAAAGGCAAATGTTTGGAGAATGATGATGGCAACAAATGTACAGATGTGCTTGACACAATGGATGTATGTATGGATTGTGATAGGAATTATACGAACCCCCAATAAAATGATTTTTTAAAAAAGAGTTGTAGGGGGAAGCATTGTAGGGTGCTCTGCTTACCCCACCCCACCCTGATTTCTGTTGCAGCCAACCCTTCCCCAAGGCTCTGCTTCTGCTCCTGGGAGCCCAAAGGGAAGTGGACAGGAAGCCAGAGGAAGTACTGGGACGATCCCAGGACCCTGGCCAATCTGTTCCCATCATTGGGAGGATTTCCTGGCCTAAATGGCCGGAAACGCTGGGATAGGACACCCCACCAGGGAAGAATAGGTAGAGATGGGCAGAGGGAGGGGTCCCCACTCCACCCCAACCACGTAGCTCTTGCACGGAGAGAAGCCCACTTCAGCTGGGCAGCAGCTGGATGGGGTGTGGTTAGGGGGCACTAAGGGCTCCCCAGGTGGGAAGGGGAGCAGCAATAACCCTGGATGTCAGAACCGGGAAGTCTGTCAGCTAGCTTCTCAATGGAAAACTCCTGGCCTCAGGAGTTGGGGGGCTTCCAGGTGGAATTCTGCGCTAAGAATACATGCCTTACTCATTTATTTTTTTTATCTCAACTGTCTTTGGTCTTAAATATTGGGCTTCCGTATTCAAAGAAGCAATTCCCCAAGCATTCTAAGCTCCCTTCCCCTGTTTTGCAGCTGGGAAGACTATGGGCTGTCTTGGCTAGAGAACCAGGCCCCAGCCTGGACAGAATGATCGATCTTGATAGTGGTTAATAGCACTTGAGTGTCTGCTGTCCGTGCATTCATTTAAGCAGTATGTACTGGGTTCTTAACTGTGTACCAGGCACTGTCCCTGGTGCTTAGGTGTTTGATGGTGGATGAGACAAAGTCTCATGGAGGCATCAGGTAACAGTACATAAATAGATCTGTGGTGGTCATTCCAGGTGCAGGTAAGCACATTAGAGAAAATAAAGCAGGCGTTTTTGTAAGGAAGAGGGGGCTATTAGAGGCAGGGTGGCCCGAGAAAGCTTCTCAGAGGAAATGGTAAGACACAGAGCCTTGAATGAAGTGATTAAATGCATGACTGTTAACTGATAGGCTGTTCGAACCCTCCAGAGAAGAGGTGGCAGCCTGACTTACAGTCCTGGAACCATCTGAGTTTCCTTGCTCTTACGGGGAACTGTGAGTTGGAATAGCGTTTGAATGAGGTGGGAGAAGGGAATGACATCTGGGTGCCAAGCATTCCAGACAGGGGGAACCTAAAGTTGGAAGGGCCTGGGGCAGGAATAAGGGAATCAAGGAAGCCCAACGTGGTTAGGGGAAGGATGAACAGGACGCGCTGGGGAATGGCAGGCTGTTACGCATGGAGCACACCACATGCTGTATGCCTGTCATGGTGCTACAGTAACGACAGCTCAGTTCCTGACCAGGGGAGAACAACGCCGCTTTGGCAGGTCAGGCACATGACCGGTCGTTTGCAGGCCGTGGAAAGCTTGGAAGCCCCTGGCAGGTTGGGATGTGTGGGCCGTGAGTGACCCCTCAGGCTTTGATCTTAGGCACAGTTTGGCGGCAGCTCGCCAGCTGGCCATGGTGTGCCTGTGAGAGCAGACGCAGGGAGCCTGCTGAGCTCCAAGGGGGAGCTGGGATGGCCCAGACTCGGGCTGACACTTGGAGAGGAGTGATCAGGATCTACTTTGAAAGCACAGCAGCGAGACTTCCTGGTGGGTGGGATGTGGAAGGTGAGCCCAAGAGAGAGAGAGAGAGAGAGAGGAGGCAAGGAGGACCACGAGGCTTCTGGCCCGAGTGATCAGAAGGCTGAAGCTGACATCCATGGAGATGGGGAGACAGTGTAGGGGCGGGCACGTGGGCCCAGGAGGATGGCCATTTCGGTCTTCAACACACACGGCAGGCTCAAGGGGCAAGAGCAGGCTGTGTGAGTCAACGACCTTGAAGACCATGTGCCATATGAGGTAGCTCACGGAACCCACACACCTGGAGAAGAATGAGATATGTTTGGCGTGTATTCTCGGGGAACAGACAAGGTGGCTGACAGCAGCCACCCCTCAGGCTTCCCTGGCTTCAATTCTAGCCCTTCTGCAGGCAGAGGACCATTCCTCAGCCACCCTAAGCAGGGTGGCTTCCACCCCCGGGGCTCTGGGAATACTGAACCGCAGCCTGGAGCCCTCCGGCAACAGGGAGAGGAAGAGGAGTTGGAAGGCAGAAGGAAAATAGGAGAGCCTGGAACCCTGAAGGCAGGTGAAGAACGTGATCCAGGAAGCAGGCGCCAGGTGAAGCGTGAAGCCCACATTCACTGGTTCCCCAAATCCTCGTCCCCTGACGAAACTTCCAATGACTCTGCAGATGAGGGAATGTGAAGGGCTTGCCAGGAGCCCCACAGCTGGAGAATGGAGGAACAGGGGTCACCTAGACCCGCCGACTCTGAGAAGCTGCAGTACCCAAAAGATCAGCAGTGGCCCCGGGCAGGTGGGCAGGGGCTGGCAGCCAGGGAACCGGCTGGGCTGAGGACACTCACACCTCTTCTCTCCTTGCAGGGCTGCTGGGGAGCCAGAGGCCGGCGGGGACTATGTGAAGGTAAGATGGGCTGGAGTTGGGCTTGGTCTGGCAACACTGCAGAGTTTGGTGTTTGGCAGGACTTTGTTTAAGAAGACCTTGTAAGGAGGCAGACCCCACTGCTTGTGCCCAAGAGGAGAGGGTCTAAGGGCTTGGGCAGTGCTGGGGTCTGGCTGTCCCCTAGCCTGTGATCTCTCCACTCCACCCAAGGTGTCCACCTACAGTAGCTGAGACCCTCGAATCCTGCCCAGTCCTTGCCCACCTGCCTTGTGCTGGAGGCTGGGACTTGGGAGCAGGTAGGGAGGGATGAGTTTTTCACTGACAGCTATCAATAGCTCATGCCCGGCTCACATTCATTGAAAGCCGGGTGCTTCCTTGGTAGTGGGAAGGTTGAAAAGGTTGTCTGGGAATAACATTGATCACCACCATAATCCTGTCACATTTCTTTCTTTCTTTCTTTCTTTATTTTAACATTTTATTAGGGGCTCATACAACTGTTATCCGAATCCATACACACATCAATTGTGTAAAGCGCATTTGTACATCGTTTCTCAAAACATTTTCTCTCCACTTAAACCCCCCACATTAGGTCCTCATTTTTCCCCTCCCTCCCCGCTCCCCCCTCCCGCATGAGCCCTTGATAGTTTATAAATGGGTATTTTGTCATATCTTGCCCTGTCCGACATCTCCCTTCACCCACTTTTCAGTTGTCTGTCCCCCAGGGAGGAGGTCACACACATTTCCATGTGATCGGTTCCCTCTTTCCTACCCATTCTCCCTTTACCCTCCCTGTTTTGCCACTCATACCACTGGTCCTATAGGGCTCATCCGTCCTGGATTCCCTGTGTTTCCAGTTCCTATCTGTACCAGTGTACCTCCTCTGGTCTAGCCAGACTTGCAAGATCGAATTCGAGTCATGGTAGTGGGAGCGGGGAGGAAACATTTAGGAACTAGAGGAAAGTTGTATTTCTCAATCCTGTCACATTTCAAGGGTCTGCCGGGTACAGAAGAAGCCTTGGCGGCACCATGCTTAAACAATTTGCTTCTAACTGAAATTTCTATCAGTACTTGGAATACCACCCCCACCCCCCAGTGGCTTCGTGGGGAAAGACCTGATCGTTTCCATAAAGACTCCAGCCTAGGGGGCAGTTCTACTGTGTCGTAAAAGGTCGTTATGAGCTGAAATGGGCACTGGGGCACGCAGCAACCCTGTATGCAGAGCTCGCTGCTGGCTGCTGGGCACTGGAGGGACACTGAGCTCTTTCCGTGACTTTGTCACCTACCAATGGGCATGGGAGGTGTTCTGATGCGAATTTACAGACGGGAAACTTTGCTGATGGCTGTTGCTCCTTTGGTCTTGTATACTTGGCTGTTCCTAGCAGCGCCTGTCTCACTGGCGTTATTGTTTACTCCGTAACAAAACCCACTGCTGTCGAGTCGATCCTAACGCATCGTGACCCAGTAGAGCAGGGTAGAACTGCTCCATTGGGTTTCCGCGACTGTAAATCATTATAGGAGCAGACGGCCTCATCTGTTTCCCAAGCAGTAGGGAGTGGTTTTGAACCATCAACCTTAGCAGCCCAATACAACCCACGGCGCCATTCGGGCTCCTTGTTTCTGCCATAGACCAGTCTGTTCTTTGGTTGAGAGATGGCCTCTAGGAGTGCCTTCTTCTCCACCTTAGCAGGTGACTTAGGCCATACTGTCCAGGATTCCTCCCATCCCTTATTGGATCAGGAAGTCTGGTCTTTTGTATGAATTTGAGTTTGGGCCTACATGTTTCTCTCATCCTAACCAGGATCAGAATGGTCAGAAGAGGCAGCTAGGCACCATCTAGTTTTTCTGGTCTCAGGCTAGAGGAGATCATGGTTCATGTGGGCCAGCAGTCTTCCGGACGAATGGCTTCCTTGAGACTTGGTTTTCCTCACTGCCATGGCTGTGGGTGCAAAGACACCAACCATTGTATCTTAGATGGCTAATCACATGCTTTTTAGGACCCTAGATGGGTACCATTAAATAAAAAACCCTAAACATTATAAAAGAGCTAATACCACTGGAGTGAATTCAAGTCATCCCCCCAAAAGACAAAGTCCTTGTTTGTTTGAGTACTAGGCCTCAGATGGAATTTGGAATCAGCACTCAGTTCCCCAAAGTCCACCCTTGCCCTCAAGTACTCATCTTTGATGAACCCCAAACTCTAGGATTCTAGGATCAGGATGTGAATCCTTTTGATTTGAAGGCAAAGATTCTAGAATTCCAAGCCTCTAAAATTCCAAGCTCCATGCTTATATGTAGTTACAGAGAAAAGAAAGAACAACAACAACAAAACCCCCTTGAGACCTCCAATGGTGGCTGGATCTGCCTGAGATCACACACAGTCTGTGAGAAGAATCTGCCCAGACCAACGCACAGTCAGGAGCCCCGGGGTTGCGGTGGGTTAGGTATTAAACTACTAACCACAAGATCAGCAGTTCAAATTCACCAGCCCCTTCTCCGGAGAAAGATGAGGCTGTCTGTTTCCATGAAGACTTAAGAGTTTCAGACACCGCTCCTATTGTATTGAAAAGCCTATGATGCTTGATGGGGGTGGATAAAATCCAGAATCTCAGACAGTAGATACTGTTGCTTTCTTTTTGCTCACTGCCATCGAGGCAATGCTGACTCATAGTGACCCCGTGTGGGTTTCCTAGCTGTAACTGTTTACAGGAGTAGAAAAGCAGTCTTTCTCCCGAGGAGCTGCTGGTGGTTTTGAACTGCCAACCATGTGGACCTCAGCCCCACTCCCCAACTCTCAACCACGACACCACCAGGGCTCAGCGTAGATAGCAACAACTTGTGCATATTGAGGATGTACTTTATGTCTGGCAACCTGCATGCACCAACCATCCCAACCGGCGCTCCTGAGATCCTATGAGGTCATCTCAGGTAGTCGCTGCATTTCTCTGAGAGGCTTCCCACATGAGGAAATTGGGGCTCCAGTGGAAGAGATTGGGGTGGGGGTGGGGCTAGTTCCTGGGGGAAGCCCAGCGACCCATCCTAGTGGCCTTCCGTCAGCAGTGAGCTTACCGTCTCCTGGTCTGTCCGAGGAACGTCGGCACCATCCCGAGATCCCAGCAGAGCCCCGATTCCACGTCACAGATGAGAAATGTTAGGCTCTGGGTGATGTTGGGGGACCACAAAAGGATTTGGTCACACACACACACACCAGGGTTTGTTCAGCGTCGGGAGCGATTTAATCCCAAACTCTGCCCGTTGCTGGTCAGTGAGGGGCGCAGCGAATGGAAAGGAAAGCCCACTCTGGCCGGTCCAGGGGTCCCCACCCCTCCCTATCCCACCGCCCCACAGGACGCCCC